TGGAAGCAGTTCTCCACCGCGTTAACGACCACAGTTTCCACTTGAAAGCAGAAAAGTGCAATACCGGGATGAAGTGTGTAAAGTATCTTGGCTTCATCATCGACAAGGATGGCCGTCGTCCGGATCCTTCCAACATAAGTGCCATAATACAGATGCCTCCCTCTGACAACGTGGCGAAGCTCAGATCATTCTTGGGGTTGATCAGTCATTACAGCTCTTTTGTGTCCGAAATGCATCGGCTACGAGGACCACTCAATGAACTTCTGGTAAAGGATCGCAAATCTGTGTGGTCTCATGAATGTCAAGCCGCATTTGATAATGTCAAGTCTATATTGTGTTCTGACCTATTGCTAACGCATTTCAATCCGGAGCTGGAGATCGTAGTTGCTGCTGATGCGTCAGACTACGGAATTGGAGCAGTCATATCCCACATTTTCCCTAATGGTTCGGAGAAAGCTGTGGCGCATGCGGCCAGATCACTCATCCCAACAGAACGTAACTGTGGACAGATCGAGAAAGAAGCTTTTGCTATAGCGTTTGCAGTCAAGCCATTTCACAAAATGCTCTACGGAAGAAAATTCACGCTGTTTACTGACCACAAACCCTTGGTCGCAATCTTTGGATCAAAGAAAGGCATTCCAGTCTGCACGGATAGTCGCCTCCAACGCTAGGCAACGGTTCTACTTAGTTACGATTTCGTCGTCAAATATCAATCTACACACAACATTGGTCAAGCAGATGCGTTATCTCGTTTAATTGGTACACAGCATCAAGAATCAGAGGATTTGGTAGTTGCTCAAATCTCCGTAGAACCCCAAGTACATCAAGTTGTGTCTGACATTTTCGGTGCCTTCCCAGTAACGTTCAAAATGGTGCAATAAGCGACCCATCATGATTCTACCCTACAACAAGTGAACGATTTCCACCTCAATGGATGGCCTAAGAGAGTTACAACGCCGGAGCTCCAACAATTCCATTAACGGAAGGAAGCACTATCAGTCGTCAGAAACAGCCTGCTGTTCTCAGATCGCGTCGTCATTCCACACATCCTTCAAGAGAGAGTCCTCCGACAATTTCATACCGGCCACCCGGGAATGAATCGCATGAAATCTCTGGTACGAATCTATGTGTATTGGCCGTATATGGATTCCCAAATCGAGACTTTAAACAAGAATTGTCTCCGATGTGCTAGTGTATCTAAACAACCAAGGAAGACGGAATTGCAAAACCTGGCGAATACCAACGGAACCATGGTCAAGGGTACACGTCGACTTTGCAGGTCCAATTGATAGTCACCATTTTCTCATCGTTGTCGATGCCCACAGTAAATGGCCGGAGGTGATTCCAATGGTGAGAACCACAGCAGCAGCCACTGTCTCCGCTCTCCGACAGATATTTTCTCGTTTCGATGTTCCCACACGTTGGTTTCGGACAATGGAACACAATTTACCTCATCTGAATTTGTCGTCTTCTGTCGCAGAAACGCGATCGTCCACGTAAGGTCTCCACCCTTCCACCCACAATCGAACGGGCAAGCGGAACGATTTGTGGATACCCTCAAAAGAGCTTTGCTAAAGATGAAGGGGGAAGGTACCTTGGAGGAGATTGTTGACACATTCCTGCTGAGGTATCGCACAACTCCAAATCCGCAGACACCGAACGCCCTATCTTCTGCTGAAACCTTTTTTCATAGGAAAATCCGTGTGCCGCATGATGCAATCAGGCCCAGGAAGGATCAGTTGCTGTCCCGCAACTATTAGATGGAGCGTCAATTCAACATCCGACACGGTGCTCGGAAGCGAACGTTTAATGTTGGTCAACAAGTTCTGGCAAGAGACTATCGCATCCATTATCCTAAATGGGCTATGGGCCATGTGCTATACAAACGTGGTAACGTGATCTGCGGTATCCAGGTTGGGACGGCAGTTTGGGTAAGACATGCCAATCAGCTGCTAGAGGCACGGACTGGGGAACAAGTGCGACAACATGTACCAGCAACGCAGTTACCTCTGGACATCCTGGCCGACGCCGGTGAAGCGAAGACTCCCCAACATGCCCCAACACTGCAAACACCAAATTCACCCCGAAACCTAGCAGCACAGCGGCCGAAGCGGCGACGCAAATTCGTATCACCCATGCAAGTCAACCCCAAGCTGAAATCGTACAACACAACTCAAAGGGGGGAAGTGTTAGGAAGGAATACAAGAGTCGAACAAGCCAGGACCCCATCGCCTCGGCCGGCTATCCAAACTCATCCGCCCTGTTTGGGGCGAACAGAGAGCCAACCAGGAGAAGCGGCCATTGAACGCTAGGTTGAAGTTCCTTTATTGGCTGTAAGTTTAGCTTTCCAGAGCTTTCAACGGTCGCTTTAAATATACTATTCACTAACTTTCCATTTTACCTTTATAATGAACGGTGTGATTTGCTAATTCATTCCAGTTGCTCTGCTCGTCCGATTCGGTCTTCTCTCTGTCCTGTGGGGGGCCGGCGACTTCGGGTTTGATTGGCAATCAAGCATCCATTCAGGCGAGGGACGAACACTTCAAGCAACGGTAGCGGAAGCTTCTCTGGAGCGCTGGGTAGCTCAATACGGCTGTCCCGCCATCGTGACCACCGACCGAGGGTCACATTTCTCGTCAACATTTACCACGATGCTTAAGGATCTAGACTGTCGCCACGTTCAAACAACAGCGTATCAGCCGGCCGCTAACGGCATGGTGGAGCGTTTTCACGGCCAGTTGAAGGCAGCGCTACGTGCGCACGCAGATCCTTCATGGTCTGAAACACTTCCCCTCCTCCTCCTAGGAGTAAGAAACACGGTTAAAACCGCTTTCGACGACACACCAGCGCAGCTAGTCTACGGTTGCACGCTGCGGTTGCCCGGACAGCTGGTAGCACCAGCCCCATGTACTTTCACTTTTGACTACGGAACTTACACTGATCGATTGGCTCACCAGATGCGTGAGCTACGTCCACCCGCTCCTCGATCGCAGAAGACACCAGTGTACGTGCCCAAGAAGCTGTCTACGTGTTCACACGTCCTTCTTCGCGCAGATGGTGTTCGACAGCCTCTTCAGTCGCCGTACATAGGACCTTTCAAAGTGCTACATCGCGTGAGTAAGGCGTACACCATTGACCGCGGTGGTCGACACGAAGTCGTCACCATCGACCGTCTAAAACCCGCCTTTATGGAAGAAAGCTCCTCGCCTACTTCGTCTAGTAATGCTTCGTGCGCCGTCACAACTCACCGCACCAGCTTTCAGCATCCTAGTGTAGTTCAACTAGACCACGATCTCGGTCTACAAGCTTCAGCCATCCTGACATCTCCCGAATCTAGTCCGCTACCTCTCACGACCATTCGCAATGGTCGGGAGGTGAGTAAGCCCGTTCGTTTCTTCGACTATGTACAGTGTAAATCCTTTTAGCTTTGTAGATATTGTATATATTTGCCCCATTTTTGGTCGATAAACGTCTTGAAAAAAAACGAAAATATCAAAATCCTCCGAAAAACATTTTTTGAAAAAAATTCAAACAACGAAAAATTTAAGGACGCAGATCATTCGGTTGTTCATTTTGGCATTTTCTGCGCTGGTTTTTCCATTTTCTTGTATCTACATGCCCCAAGCACCCCCTTCGATCGACTGGCCCGCAAGAGGAATGTTGTCGATGACCCTGACGCTTACGCTGGTCGTTTCTCCACGGAACCGGTGTCGGTTCTCCGCGGGACGAGTGTCGATTCTTCGCAGGACGAGGATATATTCTACGTGGGACGATGGTCGTTTCTCCGTGGGACGAGGGTCGTTTTGGCCCGGGGCGAGGTGCGGCGGGTGGACAGACTACTCCCAAGCGCACCGTCTTGGCAGCAGCGGAGCTTGAGTTTCTGTTGACCTTTTTCTGGGCTAGCCAGTTTTTTTGTAGTCCGACAAGCCCGCTCCAACGGCTCGCCGAAATGCACCCTGTCTTGCCCCTAATAAATAACAAAGCACAATTGGCACAGGGAACTCCGAGTTCCGGCGAACCCCCCTTTGGCAGGAACTCTCGCTCATTTTTACTCGGCACGATTTTGCCTTACGAACCTCGATTCAACAGTCCTGTTCGAAATCGTAGGCTTTCTATGTTCAGCCTTCCAGGGGGGGGAGCTCTGTAGCGCCGAAAAAGATAACTGCTCTCTTTCATGTACAATTTAATTGTTGGCCGATTGTACATTATTCCTTCTTGTTTTAATCTTCCTTACAACCGGCTCGAGACTCGACTGCCTTGTAAGTTCCCGCGCTCACGTGTTCGCTCTTGTCTCGCTCCACCCGTCCGCGTCTTCTTATAGCCCATCGAATACAGTCCACTGTGTCCGACTACAATTGCCTTCTGATATCCGCGCTTAATTTCGCGCACCGTCTCGGACAAGTATTAACTAGTCCTACAATAACTCTTTCACCGCAAGGGACTTTTAGGAAGTTTAGTTTTGTTAGCTTAAATATATCTTTACAACATATGGTCAACGTTTCCAGAGAATGAACCTATCGGGATGGTTTACTTACCTCCATAATGAGTGAGAAATAAAAGTGGAACAATATCAACTGACCACAGGATTGCTTCATATTTGTCAGACTTCAATTGGGCACCAAATTTATCCATTCGGACACTGAGCACAAGCATTGGACTGGAGGCAAGTACGTAGAAGAGAATAAAACAAGGTATAACCTGCCGGTAGAAATGGAAAATCACGACGTTGGACCTGCCAACATAAGTTCACCGACACATTTACTTCGGTAAAGCAATCAAATGTTTAGTAGGAGTAACAACTGTGAAATAGACTTTTGGCGATTAATGAAGAATTAGGCTATTGCAGGCTAGAGCTACCAATGCTTTTGTAGTCCACGAGTTGACAGTATTCTGGTAAGCTGACATGAAACTGCACAGCGCTTGTTGCAATGTCCTAGATCTTCAGAACGCAATGTGTTTGGTTTAAGTTTCTAAATATCCCTACTTTCTCCCTTGCCTTAGTTACGTCCTAAACTGCTGTTTTCCCATAACGCATGGATGGCACACGGAGCTTGTATGTGATTAAACCTATATGCGACAATCGTTTATGGGCATATCTTCCACCTAAACATGTTGAGAAGATAAGAAATGCGGTAAACACCACAGACATAAAGGAAGTCTTGAAAGAGGCTGGGTTCTCCAGAGAAGTCGATCTTTTTAGTGAACTGCTTAACCAAGCCATTTTGCTTTCTGCGACAGAAGAATTTTCTACACAACAACTAACTGTTTTCATCACAATTCTTAACGAATTATGGGAGCTGTGCGCAGGTAGTTAACTTCCATCATTTAATCAGACAACATTAGCATGTCCTTTTGCATCCATCCAGGACGCTGTTAAAACTGCCAGCCAACTGCTGCTCCAACATTCCGTTCAGGTGCGTTTCCACTTTCCACTTAGCAGTATGGTTCGCTTTTCAGCATCCTCCACAAATGGTGGAAATATTCTCCATTCGTCAAGCAAGGCAATGCATGAAATTTATCTTGAGTACCTTGTTTCGTTACTGGAAACTGTACAAATACAATCTGACACCAGCGTTTAACCTACTTCCCAGATTTATCTACGATGACGGTGAGTTTGAGGCAACGTTTGACCCTCTGAGATTTATTTTGGTTCAATGGGTATGCATGAATGGTTGCCATCCTCCTAATTCGTGCTTCAAGTACTCTTAACTGTGAACATATAATATGATCATGGGAGCTACGACACAGCTAGTCAGCATATCATTTCCTTCTTTTCATTATGGTTCTTACTGGAACGAAACTATCACTATTGAATTTTGTCGTGACATCTTGTCGTGACCCTCATCCAGCGCAGCTAAACATGCTTGTGCACTACAGGGCTAACCTTCAGGTATACCGCGACTAAAATTGCGGTGATAGAGCAGCGAAGAAACATGACACAGTTGGTGCCGAACTAGCCGCCACACCGTAATGTGCACCACCAATCACTCATGAGCGGGACACGTTTGATGTGTAATTTCACTGAGAATTCATTGCATTACCATGCAAAACGGATAGCCCACCACAAAACCAAATAAGTTCTAGGCGGCTGTTTTGTTCTGTTGGAACTCGGCAGTACTGCGCAAACCTCAATTTTGTCAAAAACAAATCCATGACTTCTAAGTCTTATCAGTCTGTCACTAGGTCACAAAAGGTGACGGAAAACGGTTATAACTTATAGGTTAAATGCGATATAGCATCTAGTGCCATAAGCTACTGGATGTACAGGTGGTGATTGATATTACAAATATTCAGAGAACTGATTGTCCTGTAGCCGTCTGAGAGTCAAACAAAGTCTGCGCAACGAGCAGAGTCTGTTAGTGGAAATCATGGCACTGATTAACACAGTACAAAAATGAGGAATGGTTCGCATCCAACATTGCCTATATATTGGCCGCTTCCGCTTCCTATGCGCCTTTCGCGTTACTCTGCGTTCATTGGTCACACGCACGCCTTGTCTCCGACGTCTTCTGCTCCGTCTTCGGTCATTCGCCTTGAGCCACGGTTGTGTACGGCAGCTCCGCATTGTCAGTCTGGTCTGCTGTCTCCAGCTCGTCTGTAAGTGGATGTTCCGGCCAAACCGATCCACCACTGAGCCAACAGCGAGTTCTCTCTCTCTGGCTGGTCGATGAGTGAACCCGATTGGCCAATTCGCCATATGCTACTAACTCCCTATTGCCGAGGCGATCATCCGGTACCACACACGCCTGATTCATTTGCAACCTCCGATTGGCCCGCATGGGTAGGGCCGGCTTCTCAGCTTTGCTCAAGCGACTACAGCGCGTTTTATAACGCACGTCCGCAACTAGGAGCGGCTGCGCTCACGTGCTGACCTACCTCGGCGCGCCGAATTGCCAACTGTCCAATGGTGCAAATGGCTTTACCGAACGTGTAGGTAGGGGTGAGATGGAACACAGAGGCGGGACCTGTGTGTCTACGATCGCAGAGCACACCGAAAAACCGTGCCGTTCGGCTGTGAGGAGGGCGTGTTAGCCAAATAACGAAGCCGCACTGGACATGTCCTGCTTCGATCGATTCGTGGTCGAGTTTCACGAAGGTGTAAAAGCCAGCAAAAGGAATCACTTCGAAATAGATTTTGTCTGGCTGTTCTTGCAATTGAGAAGAACAGCCTGCCACTATGCAATGACCGATGGACGCCGGTTACTACCGCAATACATGGCAATAGACAAACGCGACAAAAGTTGTAAAGCCCCATGACTGGTTTCTAGCAAACGCAGAATCGTGCATTGGGCTGTTTTCGCTGCTAAGGGGAATCATAATACCAAGAATATTTTCTGAGCTTACAGTCCTGTTCGTTTTACCGTTTCGATCACGTGTGTGCTACGGCCGAAATTCACCCTTCATGGGTGCGTAAAAGCGAATACTTGACAATGATGTTAGATTTCAGTCTGCCCCGACGCACTAATGGGACTATTAGACAGCCCATCAAGTTAGTCATGGATGCAGTCAGACAATTGCTTGTTGTACCAATTGATCCTAACTTCAATGGTGTTTCTCGGGTGCAATCGAGACTATACATTTAATCAGTTATTTACTTCTATTTACATGAGTGGATGAAATGTCTGTAGATATCAAGGAATTAGGTGTTCGAAGTGCCCTCCATCGTTTTGGCTGCAGAGCAGCATTAGCCGGATGATGTTGGCGAGCACCTTCAGCAATGTCTCCAACGCAATCTGGCTATATTCTTTCACAACCTTCTCTTGCATTTCCTACAGGTTTTTGGGTTTATTAGGAGGACAGCTATTAGACATTCATTTGTTGTGAACGAGCTTGATAGCTATTCTTTTCCCTTCCTAGTTTCTATTTCTTGACTGTTGTTTAAACGCTCTACTGGGTTCGCCCGATTGGTACACCCGCGTCATTGTTAATGGACGCTCGTCGTCATGTCCTTTTCATCAGCGCCATTTGCAAGAACCTATTCCTTTGGTTTTTCGTCTCATCACTGTTCTACTTGGTTATGTTAAAGGAATATTTAGTTGTCACATGCTTATTGTACTAGTTTTCAACTTTTGGGTCTGCATTCCTTATTCTCGTTTGTTTTGTGACTTTTGTTTAAACGTTTCATATCGTCATTCTGATTGGCCAGTGCCCGTCACTGTAAATGGACCTTCGCTTTACGCTTGGAGTCCAATGATGCTATTATTCAGGACATATGCGATTCACTCTTGAGTACACGGTTGCTTATTCTCCGTTGCATTTGATGTTTTTCCTTCTGTTGGTTGGCTCAAGTGTACTTTAGTAGCTTCCCTTGATTTTGCCCTCAAAACTATATAAACAACTGTGCTTTCATGTATACAAGTCTCCTTCTGGCTCGTCTTTGGACTTCTTCTTGCGGTCGTGGGGCGAAGGCGTCAGCGGCGACACAACAGGTTTTCGTTCTAACTCTGCGCTTCAAGTATCCTCATAGGGAAAGATCCATAGGATCCAGGCCAATCTATGGGTCCTCCACGACCGATCCAACGTTGACCGCAAGTCTCGTTCAGCTAGGCACGAACCGATCGCGCCGATTGTGCAGGTGCGCCATCCTGATGCCACCAAATGTTATTCAGTAACCCTTCCGACTGCAGCTGCTGAATGACACTGATCTGCAACATTTCCATGTACGTGGATGTTAAAAATTGTCAGACATTAGTACTGTTACACAACAACCTAGCGGACACACATCAGGATAAGAAAAGACATATCACCATTCATGTAAATAGAAGTAAATAACTGAATAAATGTATAGTCTCGATTGCACCCGAGAAACACCATTGAAGTTAGGATCAATTGGTACAACAAGCAATTGTCTGACTGCATCCATGACTAACTTGATGGGCTGTCTAATAGTCCCATTAGTGCGTCGGCGCAGACTGAAATCTAACATCATTGTCAAGTCAAGTCAGGTATTCGCTTTTACGCACCCATGAAGAGTGAATTTCGGCTGTAGCACACACGCGATCGAAACGGTAAAACGAACAAGACTGTAATCTCAGAAAATATTCTTGGCATTATAATTCGCCTTAGCAACGAAAGCAGCCCAATGCACGCCTCCGGGTTTGCTAGAAACCAGTCATGGGGCTTTACAGCTTTTGTCGCGTTTGTCTATTGCCATGTATTGCGGTAGTAACCGGCGCCCATCAGTCATTGCATAGGGCCAGGCTGTTCTTCTCGATTGCAAGAACAGCGAGACAAAAGCTATTTGGAAGGGATCCTTTTTGTTGGCTTTTACACCTGCGTGAAAGTCGACCACGAATCGATCGAAGCAGAGCATGTCCAGTGCGGCTTCGTTATTTGGCTAACATGCACTTCTCACAGCCGAACGACACGGTTTTTTAGTGTGCACTGCAATCGTAGACACACAGGCCTTGCCTCCGTGTCCCATCACACGTTCGGCAAAGCCATTTGCACCATTGGACATTGGCCAATTCGGCGCGCCGAGGTAGGTCAGCACGTGAGCGCAGCCGATCCTAGTTGTGGACGTACGTAATAAAACCAACTTTTGACAAGTAGCTGTGATCAAGATGAGACATCAGTCGACTGATTTAACTGTAGTGGGAAAAAGGGCTTGACTTTATTTCATGGGGCACCGTATCCAAATTTTTTTCGCTATGTCGTGGATGCGACTTTTGATGGTGCAGTTGGAAAGTGCCACCAGACTTAGCTTCGGAGCATGTTTCTCTCTAAGAGTGTACCTAACCGTATCTACACTGCAAAGTTTGATGCGATCCTCTGCTATGGTATGCGGTTTTCTGTTTTCGGCGATTCGAAATGCGATACGGTACGAGGCTTTAAGACCAGCTTCAGTTGACCGAAAAAACGAGCCCGATGTACACAGGGGCAAACATTTCACCGCAACTATTTTACATTTGAAGGATGTAGCATATTGTCATACGAACTGAGAATAACTTCGTTCAGTGTTATTTTTAATTTGCTGTGTATCAAATTCTCCGCCGTGAGGACTTTGTTTCACAAAACACATTGCTGTTTCTGAACACTTTTATCGACAAACTAAGTGAGGTCTCAATACAGAAAGGGTCATTGTAAGGTCGTTTTTTTCCAGAGAACAAGGTTCATGCAAAAATATTAAACAGTTAAGTGTCATATATATATATCTATGACACCTAGCGGATAAACTCATTATTATAGATATTAAAAACCCAGGAATTAATGCACGCAGGTGCTGTGGCTTTTCGTCAAATACAGCTGTAGATGAATGTGATCAACCCAACATCTAATAATCACTCGCGTTTAATCTGCTCTTCCTGCTCCGGTTGTGTGACCCCAAACCCAATGTCTTGGTGCACTTCGAAGCGCTTGTTGTTATCCCGATTCAGGGCGTCTTCTGGACTTTCGTGTGTGATTTCTAAACGAAGCTGAACTGATCTCAGTGGCTGCTCATATGTTAATGGAGTGACTATTCCACCCTTCCACATTACAGGAATCTGCGTATCGCCGAGTCAGTGTTGGAAAAGTCGACGCGATGCTCCAGTCAAGACCGTGGTAGCTACCATTTCCTTGGGTGTACATTGTGCGCACCAAGATAATTGTGTTCACGCAATAATGCCC